TGGGAAAAAAGATAATTTACAAAATACTCTAATTTTAACTGGTCAATAGAAAATAGACTTTTTAATTGGTAATTGTAATTTAACCAGCTTTAATTTATTATTGATTAAATAAGTTTTCGACAATACCTAATGCGACTTTTTACATTAAGTATAAAACTAAAAATAGCAACCGAACACATAATACCTACTATATTTTAAATTTAATAAGTTACAAATTTTATTTAATTAGATAAATTTATCTAAGTAGCCTTCAATAATATTTATGGTGGCCTTAAGGTAGTTTTCAAAGGTCTAACTCACATTTCTAAGCACTTTTTAAGTAACACTCAAACTTTAAATACTTCTCTTATTCATGACTAAAGGTCATATTAAAAAACAGACTGACTTTTTTAAAAATAAATATTGCAACACTAATAACATTGTCGAAAAAATTTTAAGTCGATAATAAATTACAGCTGGTTAGATTCTAATCACTAATTATTAACAGTCTATTTTCTGTTAACACTTTCGCTGCCCAAGCTCTAATGCCAACTACACGCCCTGGCTCATCTGTATATGAACATTTAGAAGTTTGGACGTTCATTAACATCATGGGCCATACACAATCGAAATATAAAATATTTATGCTGGGGAATAGCTGTTATGAATACAGGGTGTTTATAAATAGGGACAAAAGTTAACTCAAAATAAGAAGAGAATAATATATAGACCTCTATATGATATCAAGTACTGATGGCAAGGAAGTATATTACTGGGCTGCTGGCTGACGATGTACCTATATATTCATTTATCGATCACCATAGTAAGGCACTTGTTGGATGGGTGACCCGAGACTGTAAGTTCTCAGGAGCTCATCTAGCGATTGGAATGAATGAATCGGAAGAATAAGGGTATCCAAATGGTGGTACAATAAGCAAATGAAGCTGCATTATAATCATGCTGAAATCCTGTATGCGAGGCTGGACTATTCAATCAAGACTGGTTCAAAAAGATGAAAAAAGACGTAGTTTTATACAGGATGTCACATTAGTCCGTAATTGCTTGATATTTCAATTTGTGTTATAGACATGCAAACATGTTTTGAAAAAAGTTATGTGGATTTGAAAAACATAATTTAAAAATATGTTTCGATATGCAAGATGTTACTCTTTGTCCTGGAAAGTGAAAACGTTTTTTAAATGGAACACCCTGTATTTTATTTCAATTTTAGAGTGTCATGGTAATACTATAATTTAGAAATATACAAGGTTGCGAAGAAATAATTTTTTGTGAAATTAGAGAATGATGCAGATCCCAAATAAAATATTCATAAATTATTTATAGGCAAATGGTTTTAAAATTGTTGAAAATAAAGATTTATAAGGACAAAGCTGTGATGATAGATTTGATTCATTTTATACAGTGTTTTAAATATGGCTCAATCAATTCCCATCAGTCTGTAATTGATTGATAACTGTATAGTTATTGAAAATAAGAAGAAATGTTTAATATAAAAGTTGTACGAACTTTTTTACAATTATTCTTAAATATACATGGTAGTCTATAAATGAGGGGAGAACCAAACAGTTTTTTAAACCAAAAACACCCTGTAGGTAGTTACGTCCCACCTATTTGGTTATTTTCACATCGTTTTTTCAAATACAATACTCTGTGTGTTACACCACCTATTATTTTTAAATTAATTTCCTTATTTTTTGCGTTCTATTCCCAAACGAATTTTTTTTAAGATTTAGATGGTTTTATTATGAACATTAATATTTTTTCACATTTTTCTAATTGGCTTTTCAAAACATGTACTTAGGGTAAAATGCTAATGTAAGTTTTCGTAACCAGTTTGTTAGATTTAATAAATGATTTTCTACTTACAATTAATATTGTGAATAAAATTTAAAAATCAGTTTTGGTGTAAGGAATGCCAAACAACATACAAAGTAAAGAAACTAGATCATTAGTTAATTAAATTTGTGGTGTAACATAGAGAGTATTCCATTAAAAAAAAAAAGAGAAAATCGTAATATTGCGTTTTGACACACACCCTATATAGCAAATTAATGAAAAGGCAAAACATTTTTAGAAATATTAAGTCCATTAAAATTGTTCGACGATATCAGAACAATAAAATTTGTTATACAGGGTGTTTGGTCCACCCCTCATTTATGAACTTATCTGTATATTTAAGGATATTTGTAAAATATGGTCCTACAACTTTTGTATCAAAAATGTCTTTATATCTTCAATAATAAAATACCTATCGGTCAATTACCCACTGATGATATGTCTAATGGTACCGTTAGATAAGTAAATTTATAATGAATTGATTGATAAAATGATATACAGGGTGTTGCATTTGAAAAAATTGAGTAAACTGAACTTAAAAGGAGTCATATTTATGAGATGTTTCAAAACCCTCGGTATAAAATAAACTAGTTCTATCATGTCTATTAGCTTGGTATCTTAGGTATAAGCCTGTATTGTAAATATTGTTCAAATCATTGATAAGCTCTGCTTCAATTTTGATAATTTTATTTGGGGTGTGTGTCATTTTATAATTTCACCGAAAATTAATTGCTTGCCAACCCTGTAGTACTTTTTTAAAATATTCTTTTGTTCAATACAAAATTACCAAACAATTCTAAAACTGAGATATAAAATACAGTGTTCCATTCAAATCCATATAACTTTTATAAAAGTCTTGTTTGCTTGTCTATACCACAAATTGAAATATCGAGCAATTACACACATCATTTAATTAAAACCTAATAAAGCCTTGCTATGTTAAATTCACATAGTATCAAACCCAAATTTTCATAATGTACCAATTTCAGAACCCTTTCACATGTCTATGGGGTTATAAAGACAATTCATTGCATGGCGGCTTATCTACATTCATCTTAGCATACATTTTCAAATGACATTCCAAAACATCAGGGGCATGGGGGAAAGAACCCATACAGCACAAACACATTTCGGAAATATTTCAACAATGTTACATTAAAACATTTGCAAGGTTGTATAAATATTACGAAACATTTCTGAAATATGCCAGAAAATTAGAAATCTTTTAGAAATATTAAATAGTAATATTTCAGAAATGTATTCTAGTTTTTTTTTTCTAACTAAAAAATACACAAAACTCAAACATTGATTCTTAAACCAACAAATAAATATGTTTTAAAGAATATTTCGTAAAATATAGAAGTGAATTGTTTCATTTCCACCAATTCCTTTAAATGCACTAATTTGAAACAATTAGGTTTTTTTTTTTTAATTAATGCTCCAAGTAAAGAAACATTTACGATTAGTATAATCTAATCATTAAGATCAATTAGCAATTTTATTTTTACCTAACTTATCTAGGAATGAAAAACTTCATAAACTAAGATTCTACTCACTATATAGTGTACTTTAGTGTCTAATTATACTACTGTTAACCTATAACACTTAACCGCACTATACTCTGTTTTAATCTAACATCACTGAACTAACTTAAAAGGCCTGGTTCTCTTGAGTCTTCTTATTAGATTGGCATTGTTGAGGAGTTGGATAATCTCAAGGTTTCCATGTTGGAGCAGTCGTTGTTGTTGACTACTGGCAAATTTTTGTATTGTATTTTCAACAGTCTCCACTTTAAGTTCCCTATGAAGACCAGTATTACGGCAGTACCAGGATGCATCGACGATGTTCCATAATGCTTTATTCTGTAAACGTTGAATAACTTGGATGTTATTTTTACTGGCTGGAAGCTGAAAAATTGCTTCATTTCCACCAATTCCTTTAAATGTACTAATCTGAAACAAAATATAGGTAATTAAAAAGGATTTATAAAAATTATTTGATTAACAATAGTTTTATTAATATTGTTTTAAATTAACTATAATAAAACAATACTCATGTCTAAACAGAACATGAAGATCCACCTAAAGCAAGCATATTTATGTAGTTCTCACCTTAATTTCTAAAGACATATTCTGCTTCTCATATAACAAGTTCACATCGCATGGATATCAAAAACCAACAACTCAAATCTATAATTATTTAGAATATAGGGCTTGTTTCTAGCTGGTGGCTGGACAGGGACATGATAAAATAAAATAACTAAATATCCCATCTTACAAATCAGAAATTCTTAATTAATTGTTGGCCTTTTACAACATAACCCTTTTAATAACCTTTTGTGTAACATATATACCATGTTTCAGAAACATTTTCAGTGAAATATTTAACTAAAATATTTCAGAAACTTGTGCTTGAAATATTATATATTTGAAACGTTGGAAATATTTCTGAAACATTTCTGAAATAATGTTTGCTGTATGGGAACTATTATGACGGTTATGGGCAGCGAAAGTGTTAACCAGTGGCCATTAAACTATATTGTGAAGTATTTTTTTATCATTAAAATTTAAAAAACTCCGAAAATTATTAACTTTAGGTATCTGGAACTCAAATGAAACTTTAATTAAGGTACTTTTAAATGGTATAAAATACAGGGTAGTCCATTTACAAAAAATAAGAAATTGATGTATTTGAGTTTACACTCTCCCTGTACAGATTAGTTTCTAATTGAAAAAAGTAGTACAAACGGCATAAATTTTGATCAATATCATAAACCATTTACCGCAAAAAAAATGGTTTAAATTGCTTCTTTTGCACTATACAGATCAATGAAATCGATACGATTTTCATGTACGGGCAATTCAAATATAAAATAAACAGGACGTGTCCTATTTAAAAAACCTAACTTAGATATGTATCACTTTCTTGGAGAACCCTCTAATAATTGAAATTAGTTTTAAATTGTTGTCTTTTCTGATATACATGTTTCTGTGAAAACAGATTTTAAAAAATAAAATAAGTTTGTCTCCACAGACCGAGACGTTACCTGTGGCACACCCTGTATATTACTTAATGGTAGAATGACATACACTCTGATGTCTTCTGATCACATTGGTATATATTAATTTAATAAAAAAATTATATAAATATTTTATTTGCAGAAAATGTCGACTCTTAGCCCTGAGCATGTTATGATGTGTCCGATTTGCTTAGAAACAATGAAATGTCCAATAATCCAATGTTTAAGAGGACATAGCATGTGTGATGTATGTATTAAAAATACGCACATAACAATGTGCCCTTGCTGTAGAGGACCTCTATCCCAAACAAGAAATTATCAATTGGAACAGCTGATAGAAGGATTGAAAAATGTTCTAAAACTAAACTGTATTTATATTTCAAAAGGATGTAAGTTTGCAATAACTACTAAAGATAAAGAGAGTCATGAAGCTGAATGTAAATTTCGAAGGTTTCAGTGTGAAGGTAACAAATTTGCTAAATGGTCATGCAATTGGTCAGGAAACTACTCTGATATTTATCAACATTTTAAAGATTCTCATAGAGATTATACCAGAATGGAATATAAAACTGAAGCTACCATAAAAGTCAATTTTAATACAGATTTTAATGATGTTCAGATCATTTCCTTTTTCAATGGGCAACACTATTTTTATTATAAACACAAAGTTGATAAGGCTAAAGAAAAATGTTACTGGCACTTCCAGCTCATTGGATTGCAGTCTCAAGCAAAAAATTTTTTTTATGAATTTGAAGTGCACAATGGACTGAGAAAATTTAAAGTAACCGAGATTTGCACAAATGATCCTTTTGATGTAGAAAAAACATTTACCGAAGAAAAATGCGTCGTAATGTCATTTACTACAATAAAGAATTATTTAAATGAACAGGGAGACTTACCTTTTAAATTCAGAATTATGTCCAATAAGAAGGCTGGGCCAAATTAATTTTTCATAACAATTCGTGCTTTATCTTTTGTTGTTTAACTGCTTGCATAATATAATTAATGTTACCTACATTTGTATTCATTAGGGCTTAAAACATATAAACAATAATTAGTTATTATTTGTCTTGTTTGTTTTACTTGCTTAGAAATGGTATTAAATAAATTCCTATTTTATATGAAAACACACATTAAATATGTTTTTTTTTTCTGTATCGTCATCTACTTTGGATACTCTATTAGTCTCCTTTTAATTGGGGAATACTAACAAACTTGTTTTCCCGTGTATTTTTAGACACACAGTATACTGTTAATTAGTATCGAGTAATTAATATAATTATTAATAACAAAAATTACTAGCATTTACTGCAACATTTTCCTCAAGGCTCTAATAACTTAGCCACTTATTTTATGTTGATTCACCTACATATAAAAATTCAGTAAGATCCCGACCTATGTTCTACACCTACACTCCTGGACAAAATTAATGCAACAATATGAAATATGAATGGACCAATTTATTTTAAACATTGATTTGGACTATACAAGGAATGAATTTTTTCCAGTTGATCAAATTTGCTAATATTTATAGAGGGTGTTTCCGAACTTGGCGTCCAAATTTGTAGGGGTGGTAGTTCGCATAATTTGAGACCGATTCGCAGATTTTATTTTTCTAAAATATTTAAAATTAAAATAATTAAAAATTTTAAACAGGTACGGTCCTCGACTGGTGCGCGCTATAAATAAAATTCTCTGAACGCGAGGTAAACAACCCAACAAAGCAATATGCACTAGAAAAACAATCGGCTACGTCTTTCGATACCGACCGGGCGGAGGGAGAAATTTGCAAATCGCATCTGTTTTTGAGTTGTAAATCCCGATGAGTAACCGATCAGGCGACTATTGATTTTTTTTATAATGGCTCTATTTTGTTTATTAAAATTTTTTTAGAAAAATGAAATCTGCCAATCGCTCTCAAATTATGCGAACTACCACCCCTACAAATTTGGACGCAAAGTTCGGAATCACCCTGTATAGAACCCTTTGTTAACAGTAAGACAAAAAAAAATTGTTTTATTAGGGGAAAACAAACTAATAATTATACACAAGATCAATGGGGCAGTGTTATTTGGGAGTGATTAGTCAAAATTTGTACTTTGTGTGAGGAATTGTCAAAGTGTGACAGGCGGGGTCACTCAAACGATTTGGATTCCTTACTAGCATCAAAAGACGAAAACCAAATTTGGCAATTATACCAGTTCTTAAGCGGTGCAATGAAATTAAGATCATTTATAATTAATTAATGAGAACAATTTTTTTACACTTATATTCTAATTTTTTCTTTCTCAATGTATTTATTTCAACTTAATTTATTTATTTCTACTGTGTAATCTTATAAAGTAAATTTAGTAATTGTTAAGTATTTATAACTGATAATTCCTGCTTGTTCATGTCTCTAGAAGGAACAGTAAACTATTTATAATAATAATAATGGTCTTTATTGTTTCATGAGAACATTATACAAAAAACAGTTTATTAAAGAAAACAAAAGGCGAAGTTCACTTTCTAAAGTTAAAAGGAAAACTTGGAAAATGTTCTTCCACTTAACCCTTATTGTTATTTATCTATTTAATTGTTAAAGTTGAGTTTAAAAAGTATACTTTATTGTCAAAGAAAAGTATTCATTTTGACCATGAGGTGTTCAAACAAAAATATAATTAACTTATTTTGGTAGGATAAAAGTTGTATATAAATATGTATACATACACTTGAATAAAAATAGCCAACACTCTAAAGTAAAAAACAATTTGTGCAATAATTTGGGGCTTTATATCAGCAGATGTTAGAAGGTAATATTTTGTCGAAAACATAAATATCCTTAAAAACTAGGAATTTTATTATGAGTATATTCCAGTAAGATGGCGTTACGTGCCACTTAGTGCCATTAACGTTAAAAAAAGATGTGTCATAAAATGATATTAACTTGTTAGAATCAATGAACTGGAGTGGGGTAGAATGCTTGTCAATAGGCTTGAGATGCGACTCTATGGGCGAAGACAGGTTATTTTTCATCTCACTCGGGAGTATTTATAACAACCATTTTCTATTTCACTTTGTTATTGTCTGATCCACCAGCTTGTGGATTGAACAATAACAATGTGAAACAGAAAATGGTTATTATAAATACTCCCGAGTGAGATGAGAAATAAAAATGGCTGCGCCCATAGAGTCGCAACTTGTTCTATTGATACAATATGCACATTGGCTTTCTACCCCACGCCTGTTCATTGGTTAGAATAGACAATAAATTGACCTGTATATTTGTGTAACACCTTTGATACATACATAGTTATAATTCAATTATTCATTTTGTAAGAAGGATGAAACCTCCATTCCCATTCTGACTAAATGTGTAGCACTCCAGAATCCAAAGGCACTATACTTAAGAGCATACCAAATAGAAGGGGTCAATCTATCTAACTTAAAGATACTCAAAATTCTACACTTCCTTGAGAAGATAGGATTGACAGGGTCGTTATAGGTCTTGATGCATTAGCGGAAGGAGATAGAATAGATATTTTAGGTCGCTGTACATTAATACCCTATATCCAACATAACATTATTCGTTTTAACAAAAACTGTCAATTGGAAAACAAATTGCGCGCGTTTTCTTCTGTTTACACACGAGATGGCTTTTATTCAGCTGAATTAAAAACAATAAGCCAAATCATGTAGCAATTAAGAGTAAATTATTAATTAGAGAACAATCCCGGCACGGGTAGGATTCGAACTCCGGACTCAAAGATCCCAGCTGTAATCACTAAGAAACCATGATACAAAAAAATCTGATTCCAACACATGACTTTCCTGTCTAGTTATTACAGGCCTTTTCCGGTTATTTTGTACAACCTATTGTATCGTCTCTGTAAATGTTTAGAAGATGAACATACATTTTCCACACACAACATTATATAGGTATATTATATACAGGGTGTTTCAAAAAGGTATGTCATAAATTATACCACGTATTCATGGGTCAAAAATAGAACGATTAAACCGTACTTGCCTTATACAAAAGTGCACCCAAAAATAGTTACAGGGTGTATAAGATAAAAATTTAAATGAATTTTTTTTAACATTGCTCTTAAACCGTTTGACATTTTTTCATGAAATTTTATATGACGTATTGGAATACCATGACTAACAAAATCGAAGTAGAGGCAAAATATTTTTTTTTATTTTTGTAGGATTTTGGAGGGTGTCACCGCCCCTTTCTCTATTCAACTTTTTTGTAGTATAAAATTTAATTACAAATGAAACGCCACTGGAATCCAACATCCATTTGGAAACTTTTTTGTCTCTTAGTATTTGTAAAAAGTTTAGTTTAGACGATACAGCCATTTGAAATGACAACTTAAAAATATTCAATGGAAATTCTACGTATGAAAAATATCAAAATCAAGTTTATTTTTAAATTACAAACTAATTTCATCAAAATAAAAACATTTAATTTAACAGGTGTTCAAAATTACATTCTCCTCCTGTATACACTTACTACACAGTTTTAACAATGAAAATCGAATTTTGATATTTTTGCATACGTATAATTTACATTGAATATGTCATTTTAAGTGGATGTATCGTCTAAACCAAACATTTTACAAACAAATACTAAGAGACAAAAAAGTTTCCAAATAGATGTTGCATTTCAGTAGCGTTCGATTTTTAATAAAATTTTATATTACAAAAAAGTTGAATAGAGAAAGGGGCGGTGACACCCTTCAAAATCCTACAAAAATAAAAAAAAATATTTTGCCTCTACTTCGATTTTGTTAGTCATGGTATTCCAACACGTCATATAAAATTTCATGAAAATATGTCAAACGGTTTAAGAGCAATGTTAAAAAAATTCATTTAAATTTTTATCTTATACACCCTGTAACTATTTTTGGGTGCACTTTTGTATATAGGTAAGTACGGTTTAATCGTTCTATTTTTGACCCAAGAATACGTGGTATAATTTATGACATACCTTTTTGAAACACCCTGTATATACATTGAAATTAAAATTTTACTTTTTCTAAAATTTTTCCATTATGGTCCATTTTAGAGAAATCATGTATTGAATAAAAATTATATAGAATGATATCGCAAACAACTTTTATTTGAACAATTTTCTTAAAAAGTAAAATTTTGCACATTTTGTCAAGTTTGTCGAATAGGAAAATTATGTATTTAACAAAAATTATACAGAATAACATTATACAAGCAAGTTTTATTTAGATAATTTTCTTCTCTAAGCTTAAATAATATATATTCCATAAAGTAAAAAACGACCCTCTACAAATTACCCCCCAGATGTTCCGACTATGCCCATAATTTAATGAGTTAACGGCTTAAATTTAAAATTTTGGATTTTTCTCAATTATCTCGAATAGAGTCCATTTTAGAGAAATTATGTATTGGACAAGAATTATAGAGAATGACATTGCGAACACCTTTTATTTTGATTATTTTTTTTAAAATTCGAATTTCGCACTTTTTGTTAAATTTCTCGAATTTTGTATAAGACAAAAATAGATAATATTACAAGCAACTTTTATTTGAAGATTTTGTTTTCTCGAATAAATTATAAAAACGGCCCCCTATAAAGTACCCCCCCCCCCCCACGATGTTTCGACTCTGTCCAAAATCTAATCAGCTCGCCGCAGACCGGAATGAAGCTTAAATTTAAAATTTAGTGTTTTTCTCTGTATCCGTTGATGAGTTATCGAGTATACAGACACACACAGACATCATCGCGAAAATAGTCAAAACTGATTCAGGGGACCTCAAAACGTAAAAATCCGTCAAAAACTAGAGGTCGAAAAAATCATAATTCCTATACTTTCCTTATATGTATACACTGTACACACCTTAGACTAGGTAATAAAGAGAGAACTCATTAACGCCGCTGAAAATCTTGTTCCATTCTGATACCAACGGTATTCGACCAGAGGCGTA